TGGCTAACCATATCAACATGGAAATATCTTTAAGGTACGGTAAATGGAAAAATGTAGCTTTATTAAAAGTATGTAGTATTTCCCCAAGTAATATATATCACTGTTTCTAAAGACAAGCAATGTCCCCCCCAAAAAAATTAAAACTTAAGTTAAAATTTAAAAAATTTAAAAAAATAAATAAAGACGAGCAATGTCCCCATACATTCTAATACGAAAGGCCTAGAACAAGGCCTGGAAATGTGAATTTTCAACATGCTCCCCCCATGCACACACAGATACATACATGCACACATTCACCTGGGTAATCCTGGTGCAGGTGTTCTGCAGAGGGCCCTCTGAAAAATGGTGCATTAACATATCTCAAATTTGGGAACGAGTGTATGTGCAAAATAGAAACACGATAATATAAGAATCTACAGTCTGGAACTGATGTTGAATTAGGAAGAGTAAGAGACAAAAGAATAAGAAAATGAAATATAATACATCCAGTCGGACTATCATGCAACCATTAAAACAAAAACCACGGTGACACAAACAGAGAATATGATATATTTTTAAGTTTTGTTAACACCAAAAAAAGGAACTCCACAAAAATCTAGTTCAAAAATGGGCAAAGGAATCTGTGACAACACAGATGGCCCTTGAGGGCATAATGTTAAGTAATGTCTTTCTCAGACAGAGAAAGACAAATACTGTATGATATCACTAATATGTGGAATATTTTTAAAGCTGTATTCATGAAAATAGAGACTAGAATAGTTGTTACCAGGGGCTGGGGGTAGGGAAATTGGGGAGATGTTATTTAAGGGAACAAACTTGCAACTAGTAGATAAATAAGTCCTGAAGATCTAATGCACAACATAGTGACTATAGGAAACACACTGTATTACAGATTTCAAAGGGACTAGATCTTAATTTTTCCCACCATAAAAAATGAAATAATAATTACGTGATGTTATAGAGATATAAGTTAATGCTATGATGGTAATCATATTGCAATATATAAATGTATCAAATCAACACACTGTATACCTTAAACCTACACAATGTTATATATCAATTAATTTTTTGATTTTAAAAAATAGGCAAAGGAGTTACATAGACATTTCTTCAAAGGAGATATACTAATGGCCAATAAGCACATGGAAATAGCTCAACATCATTAGTCATTAGGGAAACACAAATCTAACCTACAGGGAGATACCACTTCATACCTACAAAGATGCTACAGTTTTTAAAAATGGAAAGTAAGTGTTGGTTAGAATGTAGAAAAATTGGAACCCTCATACATTGCTGATGGGAGTGTAAAATGATGCAGGCACTGGAAAACAGTTTGGCAGTTCCTCAAAGAGTTAAAAATAAAAGTACCCTATGACCCCACAATTCCAATCCTAGGTATCTACCCACGAGAACTGAAAACAGATGTTCAAATTCTTGTACATGAATGCTCATAGCAGCATTATTCATAATTATAGCCCAAAAGTAGAAACAACCCAATGGTGAGATGCAGTATACCTATTCAATGGAATATTATTCAACCTTAAAAAGAAATGAAGTGATACTTGTACACCAATGTTGACAGCAGTATACCTATTCAATGGAATATTATTCAACCTTAAAAAGAAATGAAGTGATACTTGTACACCAATGTTGACAGCAGCGTTATTCACAACAAGCAAAAGATAGAAACAACCCAAGTATCCATCATTAGACAAATGGATAAACAAAATGTGGTGCTATACACATACAATGGAATATTATTCTGCCAAAAAAGAAAGGAAATTATGATACATGCTGCAAGATGGATAAACCTTGGAAATATTAAGTGAAATAAGCCAGACACAAAAGGATAAATATGGTATGATTCTACTTATACGAGATACCTATACAGACAGAAAGGAGAACAGAGGTTACCAGGGGCTGGAGGGAGGGAAGAATATTTAATAGGTACTGAATTTCCATTTGGAATGATGAAAAAGTTCTGGAAATGGATAGTGGTGATGGTTGTACAACACTGTAATTGTACTCAATGCCCCTCAATTGTACACTTAAAAATAGTTAAAATGGCATATTTTATGTTATGCATATTTCATCACAATTTTTAAAGGCAACACAGTAAATTATTGTCAAAACAAACACATAAAAATAAAGAAATGAAGTAGTGATACATTGTATAACCACATATGAACCTTGAAAACATCATGCTAAGTAAAAACCTGGACACAAAAATCCACACATCATATGATTCCATTTATATGCAATGTACAGAGCAGGCAAACCCATAGAGGCAGAAAACAGATTAGTGATTGCCAGAGAATGGAGAGAGTGGAGAAGTGGGGAATGAGTGCTTAATGGGTACAGGGTCTCCTTCTAGAATGATGAAAATGTTCTGTAGTAGATAATGGTGATGGTTGCACATCATGAATGTACTGGAAGCCCCTGCAGTGTACACTTTAACGGTTAAAATGGTCAATTTTATGTTACATGAATCTACCTCTATAAAAGAAAAGCAGAAAAACCATCAAACACACACAATTAGAACTATGCAAAGGGCTTCCCTGGTGTCGCAGTGGTTAAGAGTCTGCCTGCCAATGCAGGCGACACAGTTTCGAGCCCTGGTCTGGGAGGATCCCACATGCCGCGGAGCAACTAGCCCCGTGAGCCACAATTACTGAGCCTGCGCATCTGGAGCCTGTCCTCTGCAACAAGAGAGGCCGCGATAGTGAGAGGCCCGCGCACCGCGTTGAGGAGTGGCCCCCACTTGCCGCAGCTAGAGAAAGCCCTTGCACAGAAACGAAGAGCCAGCACAGCCATAAATAAATAAAATTTTTTTAAAAAAAGGCAAAATTCCTTTAAAAAAAAAAAACTATGCAAAAACATATGTAAGTATAAGGAGAAAGACAAAGTAGAAATACAAAACAAAAAGAAGGCTTAGGTGGGTCAGGTTGAGTTTTTTCTATTTTTTCAAACTTTTTATCAACATTATTATATTATTTTCATAATAAAAAGAGAACTATCAAGTATCAAGTACCTACTAAAAAATTAAGCACTGTACTAGGCATTTTCATGAATCATGAGTACTCTCCCACATGCTGGGTGAACAGGAAACATTTGATAGAAACATGGAAGGGAGAGCAAAGGAATCTAGTTACGGGGTGGGGGGACTGAATTCATTAGTTATGTATTGCTATTCAACAAAAACTCCCAAAACATGGCTTTAGGAGACATGTTTGTATATTTAATGTGTGAGCACAGATGAACTCCCTAAGGTCAACACTTGATTTTCCTATATAATTTAATAGCCCCAAAGAGAAATAAGAATTAATAACAGACAGCATTCTTTTATAAAGAAGCAGGACAGTGTTACAGTTATAATTCCTTAAAGTTATAAGAAAACTGGTCTGAAAAAAAAAAAAAAACTGGTCTGTGAGTCTAGTTGTTTCCCAGTCAATTTTAACCATAATCCAATGATCATACCTGTATTTTGATATAATTCTTAAAATTATTTTTACGATCTCTGTTTATAATTTCAGTTGTCTTTATAAATAAACCACCTGGAAACCCCAGAACCATCAATTCTATAGATAGAACCAGTCCAGAGAGTTTTATAAGGCATCAATTCAGTTCTTATAAATAAGCTGGGTATAAGATCTCATCCTTAATAAATTTATTCTGCCCTTTTGATATTTAACTGGGCAGTATATTAAGATGTCTTTGGTAGGTCCGGATCTCTGCTGTTCCAAAATCAGTGGATACTACCTTGGAGAACTCAAGGCTGAATATCACACCGGCATCATATCCTTTAAGGAAAGAGGATTCCATCAATCTTGATTGTATTTCTTAATTGGTCATGGCATTAGAGGACTGATTAGGTAGGAAAATCCTATAAATAAGCTGCTCTAGTCCTGACTAGGATAAATCTCCAGTCTTCTTAAAACATGTATGTATAAGCAATATAATGACCAAAAAGCAATCCACAACTAATTACTTAGACTTCAAAAGTACAGTCATTTGCAATGTAGTAATTCCATGATAATCATTTCCATCGCTTTTCATGATGCCTGTAATTTAACAACTAAATCTTCATGAGGGTTTTGTTGCCAACAACTTAGTAATTTTTTTTGTCTAACCTGAACTAAGCCCCTTATATATATTGTCACAAATGTACAGCTAGGGTTATTCTCCAATCAATATAGAATTAAAATCAAGAATCGTCAATGGTGGCTAAGCCTCTCAAACTCTGCAGCTGTTGCCAACTCTACTCCTTCCAAATCAAGTACAAAAGCATACAAGGCAGCTAAGTTTAAATTTCCACACTCTGATCACCTCTCACTGGTTACTATGTGAGTGTGTTGTGTAGGGGGGTGCCCATAAAAATACAATCGTGTAATGGCAAGAACAGGGATTCTGAGAGACTCTGACTGGCCCAGCTTGAGTTGTGTGGTGGGCAGGATTCAAAGATAACCCCCAAGATCCCTGCCCATCCTGTACACAGCCTATATAATCCTCCTCGCTTGAGCAGGATTTGTGATATGATGAATAGTCACCGCTGTGATTACATCATATTATATAAAACTCTACTGTACTAGACTAGAGAGCAATTCTCCTGCTGCCTTGAAGAAGCCAACTACCATGCTGTAGAGAAGGCCACATGGCAAGGTACAATGGGAAGCCTCTAGGAACTCAAAAAGGTCCTCCACTGACAGCCAACAAGTCCTGCAACCACAAGAACTGAATTCTGGTAACAAGTAGTGATCTTCGAAGAGACCCCCAAGCCTTACATGAGACCAAAGTCCCAGTCAGCCCCTTGAAAACTGGTAGAAGACCCTGAGCAGAGGACACAGTCAACCCACGACAACACTCCTGAACCACAGAAACTGTAAGATAATAAATTCATGTTGTTTTATGCCACTAAGTTTGTGGTAATTTATTATGCAACAACAGAAAATCAATATAAGTCACATGCCCACCCCTTACCCAGAGCAGGGTGGGTGGGATACCTTGATAAACAGGCGAAGTAAGTTTGCATCCAGTGGTGAGGGGTGGTCCTCCTTAAGTGCAATTGAAGTGTCATTACCCGTTGGGAGGATGGATACTGGAAAAAAGAACAAAAATCATCCACCACAATATATTCAGCATCTGACATCTCATAGGCTTTCAACATTCAACTCACAACTCTCCCCTGCCGTTGGCTCCCTCTACTGCCATATACACACTTCTAGATCTACATGCCACTGAGCCAGAGACTAACAAAGAATACATGAGGGCAACAAAATCTAGCATGAACGCTAGGCTAATATAACAAATTATAGTCTTGAATCTGCCACTAATTAGCTATGTGACCTTGGGCAACCACTCATGGGCCACAGTTTCTTATCTGTAAATAAAAGGATTGGACTAGCTTTAATGTTTCTTCCACCATTAAAATTCTGATTTATTAAAATTCTAGGGGAGGGCTTCCCTGGTGGCGCAGTGGTTGAGAGAGTCTGCCTGCCGATGCAGGGGACACGGGTTTGTGCCCCAGTCTGGGAAGATCCCACATGCCGCGGAGCGGCTAGGCCCGTGAGCCATGGCCGCTGAGCCTGCGCGTCCGGAGCCTGCGCTCCCCAACGGGAGAGGCCACAAAAGTGAGAGGCCCCCGTACCGCAAAAAAAAAAAAAAAAAAAAAAAAAAGGCAATTTGATTTTTTTTAAAGCCTACAATAACTCAAATAAGCTGAAAGTTAAATGTTAAATCTAGGCATTTCACTTTTGAAACGCTGCAAAGAAAAATTAATCACAATTGTTCTTACCAAATACACATTAACTTTGTAATATATTCTTTTCCTTTGCTGTCTTCCTTTCCCCTCACCAAAAAAAAAAAAAAACCTCAGTAGAATTTCTGATTGAACTATTTTAACCATAATCAATTCCCATTACTGTCAAGCTTTTAGGCAAGTGAAGAAAATTCTTAAAAGAGGAAGGAGAAGTTAAGGAAGAGTAATAGAACTTTCCGTTAAATATTATCCTTCAACTGCACAGAAGATAGGAATTTTTAAAAGACTTCAAGATACAACTAATGAAATAGTAAGATTAATTATAGGTTATCTCAACACACATAGAATCTAAGAGATAAAAAGAAAAAAGACAAAACTTTACTTCTTCTTGGATAGTTTCCTATTGGAAAAGTGCAAGTAATGTTCATATAGATAAAATTTATGCCTGGGAATGTCAGGAATAACATTGCTCCCATATAATATTCATAGAGAAATGGAGACCACACGTGTAGCTCTGCCAAATTAAAAACAAAAAGAGAAAATTTCTAAAAGCAAAATCTCAAATTAGATAAAACTTATTCTTAAAATTCCCAGGTATTTTGCTCTCCTTCCACAATTAAATGGATCTAGACACTTAGCACCTTTATTTAGTTAAGAGAAACGGTACTTAAGAGTCTCAAGAAAATTCACCCAAATATCAAGTGAGGTCACTTAATATCTGGCCTTCCCAAGGTCAAGGATTTGCCTTCCTGCCTTAATATGAAATGTAACATTATGAGAAAGATGGAGAAGTTCCCCTGAACAGTTACAAATACTTAAAATAGTAAAAGGCCCCTACTGTTTTCTGGAAATCTTCCATCAACAAACAACTTGCTGCTCTCGGGGCGCCACGTGCTACGGAGCTGCGCGTGCGCCCTGGTTATCACCGGCGCCAATTCTCGTGCCTCGTTCCCCGCCTCATTCTCTGAGGTGAGCGACCATAGTACAGACCTACCCGGTTCTGAGAACTTTAACGAAATAACGTAAATAAAGCACCTAGCGCAGTAGCTACACTTAACAAGGGAGGAAATTAATGTCATTTAAAGGTAAAATGCAGACCTAATGCACAGAACTTTGTTCTCAAACCACCTGCAAGTCTCCCCATCACTTGAGAAAGCTTGGGAAACACTCGGGACACGATTTCTTCCAGTAGGGCTCAGCAACGAGAGAGTCAATGTGGGGAGAAGAATGAAAGATGACTGAATGAGCAGGAGCCTGCGAGAAGCGAGCCCACGGGCAGCGGCCGACTCCTCACGCCTTCACTCACACCTCCCTCTCGGAGGAGAGCTCGACGCGACCTACGCGGCAAACGCAGCTGGAGACGCAGAAACTTTCCAGGGCGCGGGCCCGGAGCACTGAGCGAAACGAATCTTTGTTTCACAGTTTTCTCGGTGACGTAGTGAGGAAGCGGGAGAGCAAAAACCAGGTCAGAGACCAGAAGCCAAGCAGGGTTGCGACTTTCGATTTTCCGAGCGCAGGGAAGGGCTTCTAAGACTCGCCTTTAAAGGCGTTTACTTAAACTACTTAAGGGAGTTTCTATTATTTCCTCGCGTTCACAGGGTAATTCCCGCAATTTGGGCAGTCAGCCTCAGCCACCTCTCACACAGCAGAGCTCGCGGAGGTTGTAAGCCCCGCCCACTTGTGAGGCTGGTGCGCATGTGCCCAGTTGTTTTCACACTAAAGTGTTTCCGCCTTCTGTTCCACACCGTGGCAGCGATGGCCGAGTGGTTAAGGCGTTGGACTTGAAATCCAATGGGGTCTCCCCGCGCAGGTTCGAACCCTGCTCGCTGCGGAAAAGGAGGAAGCTTTTTTACCCACTTCCAACAGATGCTGTCATACGATAATCCGTACTCTTCCCTCTGTATTTCCCCTATCTGCCCGCTAAATGGCCCGACTGCAGAGAAGTTAAATGTCTCAAAGAAAAGCCAGTAAATGTCAGTGCTGTAAACATACGCTGTTTACGCTAGTGGGAATAGCCTTTATTCCCTTTATACTAAATAGTAACTAACGGTTTTAGAATCTTGTTCCTTGTTCACAAAATAAAAATAAAATGAAGATAAATATTGGCGGGAATTTTCAGGCTATCACAGCCAGAACAAGATATCATCTCATTAAAACTGATGGCAAGGCTAATGCTACCTCTCCTTCCATCCCAGAATCACCTTCAACGGTTCCCCCACCACATCCAAAAGTGGTGTGAAATGGGAGATAATAAAAACTTTTAAAAGTTCAACTTCTAAAGTATGATAGGTAGATCCACATGAGGGAACACTGCATGTAACCACTAAAACGATATTAATGACATGGGAAGACTTTCCCAATACATTGCTAAATGCAAAAAGTCGAACAGGTTGGAAAACAGTATATATTATGATCACATTTTTGTTAAACAATTCAGTTATATAACCGTTTATGTGGCAACAATGGCAGAAAAAAAGAGAGAGTGAATGGGGGCTGGAAAGAAATAACCAAAATGTTAGCAGTAATTATTATCTCTGGGTGGTGGGATTTGGGGGATTTTAATTTTCTTAACAGATAGTTTTTTGCTTAACTGAGTTTTCTAAAATGTGTATATTGATCCAGTATTTTTTTTAGTAATAAAAGGAAATCATGAGGTTAGTCTTTGAGACCCTGCACATCCCCTTTCTGCTCCCTTCGCCCACTTTCACAATCTCCCTCCCACTCCATGCTTTCCAGGTGTTCTTATGGAGCTCCCTAACACCTTAAGGCTATGGATAGCTTTCTGTGGTACCTGAAGTAGATTCCATCCACACAGCCCCCATCCCATTTGAGACTTGACTGAGCATACACATTCACCACATTCACATCTTCAGTCCCTCCTCTCTGCCCAATCCCCTCCTCTTCTGCCCCCATTCAAGTCACTTATAAATGACTGTACTAGTTTCCTAGCTGATTTCCTTCCCTTTTTCAGTCAGGATCACATTCAGCAGTAACTAACAGAAAAATCTAACTCTAGTGGCTTAAATACATAAGGGGTTTGTCTCAAGAAATCTGGGAACAGGCAATTCTCAGATGGAACAGGGAACAGGGCTCTTTCCAGCTTTCTGCTTGCCATTTTTAATGCATAGGCCTCATCCCCTGCTTGTTGTCTCATTGTCCTAATATGGTTGCCAAATCTCCAGACCTCACATCAGTATTCAGCTCGAAAGGGGAGAGACAATACCCCTCAGTTTATATGTCATTTACGTGCACTGTGTAACATGGCTACCACTAGCTACAAGGAATTCTAGTGAAGTAAGTGTTTTTAGCTGAGTGTATTGCTACCTAAGTCAAAATTAGAATTCCACTGGTAAGGAAGAAAGATGGATGGGTACTGAGTGGGCAACCAAATGTATCTTCCACACTCTTCTAACAGGAAAGTCAAAAGGCCTTCAAAATAAGTCCCCTGTCTACCTTCCCAGCCTTCCCTTTCTTCTCTCCCATCTCCTTTTATTAGAAGGCCTCCCAGCACTGTATGATGGCTCATGCCTTTGAACCTTTTTACATGTTCACATACAATTACCTGTACGTAATCCTTCTTTTGCCTTAACACTTTCTCCCTTCCTTTGGAGAAGAGGACTGCCTATCATTTGAATTCCCTTCCTAGTTAGAGGACTGGCTCTCTTTTTGAATCTACATGTAAGACTCTAATTCATCCTTGCTCCCCCTTCCCCCATCTCCATCACAGAAGCTGAAAAAAGCCACTTATTAGCTTCCCAGACTCCCTTGCCACTAGAGAGGCAGCATGTGACCTAGGCCCAACCAATCAGATGTGCCCACCCGCAACTTTCAATCAGAGAGATTAATGCAAAGAAGCAGGGAGGGTAAGGATCCACCCTGGTGGTGAGCAGAGGCCATAGTGGCAGCTGCAGGGATTGCTAAGGGCAGCAGCACCAGGGCTGCAATTGGGGTTTACAATTGTTCAGCAGCGGCGACAGTAGTGTTTGTACCCAACTTGCTCTGTGGCGTCATTCTGCCTTGATCTTGGGCTTTGCCTAGCCTAACTTACTCCTGTCCCATTTTCCAAAAGTGGCTTCAGCCCTCCTGGCAATTCTGTGAACTATTTAATATCCTTCCAGTAAGTATTCTGCTTAAATCAGCCCCAGTCAATTTATTTTCTTCCAAATATCAGATATAGCTTCCCTCTTCACCCCACTATCACCTGCTGGGAAAATTCATGTTCTTTCTTCCACCTTCAGAGTAAAGCGTTCCTGCAATTTCCAGGGTTGACCCAGAAGCCCCATTTTTATTCTTTTATTCTTGCTACTTATTATAGCAAGGCTCACATTGATCTATTTCTGCCTGTTTGCCTCTCTTCCCGCTAAATAGTAAATTTCCTGCAAACATAAAAGGGACCGTGTCTCTTATCTTTGTACCCCTGCCTCACATAGAAAAGGTACTTGATAAATCTTTAATGAAGGAATGAATAAATACCTGAGTCAGCACACAAATCCACACTCAATCCCTAGAATACCCCCAGAAAATGGGCGGGGGAGGAAGCCAACTTGCTATCCTCCTTTTGAAAGTCACTAACCTTTGCCCTTAGCATGAGTTAATTTAATATACAATATCCTCTTCTCCTTCCCTTTCCATTGCCTTCCCTTTCCTTATTTTTTCCTTGCGTTCTTTTTATTTTTCTTCTGTTCCCTTGTCTTCTAGCACTGAAAGGGCAGATTGAACCAGGAGGTAAGTGCATACAGACCTCCATCTCTCTGGTCACCCCCCATGCCCATCTCCCTGAGAGCGGTTCACTTTCACCCTGGCTGCCGTGTAACCTGAATGTCAGCTCTCTCCATGGGGAGCAAAGGAACATCCACCAAAGACTTTAGAGAGGAGATATGGAAGAGGTTCTGCAGTGCACTCCTCAGAGGACACAACCTCAACATTTCTCTTCATCCAAGTCCCCCAGCCCCTTCACTCTCCTGTACATCCCCTGGAGCCTGCCTTTTCCAACCCAACTGCACATAGTGCATGACCTTGAGGATTTTCCCTCAAGACCCCAGCTTTTTCATTCTTTTAGGATACAGAGTAATTCAGCCGTGTCCCTGTGCATTGGCATCAGTGTGCCCAGCAATCAAAGAGCTACCCTTAGAAGGCAGAGGAGGTTATAAATGTGATACCAAAGTCTCCTGCCCCACCAAATATTTCTCTACCCACTTCTATTAATAAAGGATTAATCCTGCAACTTCCCAATCAGGGTTCAAAAAGGTTTTCAGTGTAGATGGACTGAAGGGAATTTTTTGTAAATTGTAATCAGTTGATCTGAAGGCAAATACTGAACTCATAACCATCCCTCCCTTCCAAATCCAAGTCCTTCTCCTTGTTCTTCCAGTTTGTAGCATCTCCTGCCACAGAGCAGGACACACCCACTTGGAATCATCCTGATACTTGCTATTCCTCACCTCATTTCCTATCCAACCCAAGTGCCACTGAGTTTACCCCTAAATATTCTCAGAATCCACTTTGTTCCAAATCTACCACCACCACCCAGTCTAAATCAACATCACCTCTCATGTCACACTTGTTTTAAGATAAAACTTCTTTCATAAGTAATCCTTCACATCGGCTGTTGTGCCTTCACAAGCCCCCTATGCCCACCTTTGGAGAAACTGCTCCCCAGTGTGCCCATGTCCCCAAGAACATGGTCTTAGGCTCTCTCTAAATGCTAGAATGCAAACAACTAACGATGATACCTAAGTCTTAGCTCCTGCAGGGGTTAGAGTGACAGAACCTCTGACACTGGAATTTTCAGACAAAACAGATGACATTTTTCTGTCTGAAGCACTGATGGAGAAAACTCAGAACTTTCAGCTCTTGTTCTAATGACTACTTTTCTTCCCAGTCTACATGAAGTTAATCAGACAAGCTCACCCAAGCTAGTAAACTGGATGTCACAGGAAATTAGTTATTTCTTTTTCCTTCCCACTCTCTCCCACTTCTACTCATTAGTCCTAGGTCTGGGGACACTCTTTCACGGACTGGATTCTGAGGCCTAGAAGAGTGGATGGGATGGACTTAGATTTACCTTAGTTGCTTTGCCTGGTACTGGGCTGCCAGGGGAGGCATGAGTGAGCAAGGCCAGGTCTCCATTGGTATCTCTAGGCCATTCCGAAGACTCCAGTGACAGAGAACATGGCCCATGGGCTTCATGCTCTTGAAGCTTTCTGCTGCCTGAGGTCAGGGAAAGAGAAGAGTCAGGGATTGGTAAGATTCTCACTGAGGTACTGAGGTAGGGCACAGCCCCTGCCTGGTCAGTTCATCAATCCCAGGTCCCATTCCAGGGATCTCAGAGCCCTTTGTTCTTTCATATCACATTTATTCCCAAACACTTTTGGGGGATATGTTTCCCTCCCAAACATATTCGAGACAAGATTCTCAGAGTATTTGTCCAGCGAGGGACTTTTAGACATATTTCACCTGACACCACATAAGATAAGTATACACAGTGTCCATCCAAAAACTATTTATCTTCCAGATGTTAAGATACATACATCAGTGGAGGAAGACTGTCAGTGTTTTGAAATAACGTGTATTAGGATGTTGGAGCACAGAAATGCCATACTTTTTGG